GTAGAAAGTTTGAGATGATTCCGACTTAAATTTTTTGAGTTATGGCCAATTTAATAAAAAAGCTAAAATCTAAAAAATACCCTGTACTATAGCCCATGGTTTTTTCCAAAAAATGGCTCCAAAATCACCCTCAATTTTTATTACATTTTTTGATGCATATTGATGTCCTTATGCTATGTAAAAAGTTTGAGGTGATTCCGACTTAAATTTTTTGAGTTATGGCCAATTTAATAAAACAGCTAAAATCTGAAAAATACCCTGTACTATAGCCCATGGTTTTTTTCAAAAAATGGCTCCTAAATCACCCCCAATTTTTATTACATTTTCTGATATAGCCCATGGTTTTTTTCAAAAAATGGCTATGAATCACCCCCAATTTTTATTACATTTTTTGATGCGTATTGATGTCCTTATGCTGTGTAGAAAGTTTGAGATGATTCCGACTTAAATTTTTGAGTTATGGCCAATTTAATAAAACAGCTAAAATCTGAAAAATACCCTGTACTATAGCCCATGGTTTTTTTCAAAAAATGGCTCCTAAATCCCTCCCAATTTTTATTACATTTTCTGATGCATATTGATGTCCTTATGCTATGTAAAAAGTTTGAGGTGATTCCGACTTAAATTTTTGAGTTATGGCCAATTTAATAAAACAGCTAAAATCTGAAAAATACCCTGTACTATAGCCCATGGTTTTTTCCAAAAAATGGCTCCTAAATCACCCCCAATTTTTATTACATTTTCTGATGCATATTGATGTCCTTATGCTATGTAGAAAGTTTGAGGTGATTCCGACTTAAATTTTTTGAGTTATGGCCAATTTAAAAAAAACAGCCAAAATCTGAAAATTGCCCTGTACTATAGCCCATGGTTTTTTTCAAAAAATGGCTCCGAATCACCCCCAATTTTTATTACATTTTTTGATGCATATTGATGTCCTTATGCTGTGTAGAAAGTTTGAGATGATTCCGACTTAAATTTTTTGAGTTATGGCCAATTTAAAAAAAACAGCCAAAATCTGAAAATTGCCCTGTACTATAGCCCATGGTTTTTTTCAAAAAATGGCTCCGAAATGACCCTCAATTTTTATTACATTTTCTAATGCATATTGATGTCCTTATGCGATGTAGAAAGTTTGAGGTGATTCTTACTTAAATTTTTTTTTAATTATGGCCAATTTAATAAAACAGCCAAAATCTGAAAAATACCCTGTACTATAGCCCATGGTTTTTTTCAAAAAATGGCTCCGAATCACCCCCAATTTTTATTACATTTTTTGATGCATATTGATGTCCTTATGCTGTGTAGAAAGTTTGAGATGATTCCGACTTAAATTTTTTGAGTTATGGCCAATTTAATAAAAAAGCTAAAATCTAAAAAATACCCTGTACTATAGCCCATGGTTTTTTCCAAAAAATGGCTCCAAAATCACCCTCAATTTTTATTACATTTTTTGATGCATATTGATGTCCTTATGCTATGTAAAAAGTTTGAGGTGATTCCGACTTAAATTTTTGAGTTATGGCCAATTTAATAAAACAGCTAAAATCTGAAAAATACCCTGTACTATAGCCCATGGTTTTTTTCAAAAAATGGCTCC